GAATTCTCTCTAAGGAGGAAAAAAACACTTGATTGAGGCTCATAACCCTATCGCACTAAAAGAGAGGAAACCACAGGGGTGAAAAATTAAACTAAGCACACACCTTAATTGCTTTCACATAAACAATTTTTGGTTTTGCTGCACAGTAAAATAAATGCCTGCTTGGGGGAATGTTATTCCCAGCACATTAAAGAATCCCTATAATGGCTTAGGTTCTTTCATTTCCTGAGACACAACAAGCTCTGTAGGATTATCTGTAGCATCACAGGATCTCATTCTTTCCAGGTCAACCGGGTGAAAGTGACAATAAGCTTGTGAGCAGTTCAGTGAACCTTAGGCCAATATACAAGGGTGACTGAAAGACTAATCTAGTTTCACCTCTGGTTTGTGAATGGTAAGGCCTTCTCTCTAAGTCTCTGGGCTATTACAGTGAAAGGAGCTGGCTGTCACTCACTTCTCTTGTGTAAGCGTCCTGACAGGTCTGCCAGCTTGAGCTGCATAGATACCAGTTAGAGCCTAATTAAAGTGGTATTACTCTCCTGCCTCACATCGCAGTGTTGTTTCTCTAACCTTCCTCTCTGGTTTGCAAATCATCGACCCACAGCTCCACTGAGCCTTTGAGCGTCTTCATAATCCAGAGCAGATATTCTTAATTGAAATTATATGATTAGCCAAAGCTGCAGGAGGCAGGTTTCCTCTCCAGGGAACAAGGAAATGGGTCAGCTTTACCTCTGTCTGCAAAAACCCAACCAACACATAGGTACTTGCATCATACAGCATGGGTTCTTGACTGCTGAATTTGCTTATCTCCATTACACTGGGCTTCTACATGTCTAAGGTTTTCCAGAAGTCTGTGTGTCTTTGGAAATCAGTGCATTCACACTGTTTAGAACGTCTACACCCTCTTTGATGTTGAATTATGGTGTATTCAAAGAAATGTCAAAAGATTATTCCATTTGCCCTTTGTTTTTGAGTGGAAACAACATGAATACAATTTGGTTGGTTGGGTGGGTGGGTGTGCAAAGATAAATGCTCAAGCTGACACTTGACATGACTGACAAGTTGTCTTTCAGTACGACTGTACCACAGATCTCAAACCCTTGTAGCACCTGAGAGAGTTCAGTCAGAGCCCCTTATTGTTCAGTTTACACCCTTTAGTGAGACACAGAGAGAGAGAGAGAGAGAGAGAAAGCAGTCTGTTCGTGGAATAATTAGTTGGGTTTAACATCCCATATGCTGAGCTCCGAGCCACATACAAAAAAAATACACACACTTTATGTCATCTCCCCCACATGGAGGCATGCCATCATCACAGGCAACAGTTTTCCCATCCAAATAAAAGCAGACTTGTAGGCTGTGGAGATTTGCCTATATGTGATTAAAGTCATAGAAGAAGCAACAGGTGCAGGCTAATAAGCTAAAAATAATTAACATGGTTTTGTCTGTGATAAATATAACAGGCTTTTCAGTATTTACTCGTGAAGTTTGAAATCATCGGGTCCATTGGCAACTGTGAACAGCAGAGGCACAACACAGATTGACTGGCAGATTCATGGCGAAATGGTGACCACATGGCAAGATAAGAGATGATGAACTCCTAAAGAATGCATAATATCATTCCTCATTTGTCATATACTGATCCATCTGATACCATTGTAGTTTAATGAAGTCCAAGGACAGGCTGATACTTTTACTAACCAGTTTTGTCTTATCTGTATAACCTTGTTCTCAGTCAGGAGTTGTGAGTAATCCCTGCATGTTTTGAAATGCCTGATAAAGTTTTGTCCTTTAATTAAGTAACAGATTCAGTTCCCACTGGGAAACATACAGTACTTTTAATACAGAGAGTTAAACAACAGCATTTTACAGTTTAATGGCGGAAATACACTGGACAGGGACATGGTGTGACACATCTGCCACAGCATGCAGCAGAGTGCATTTATTGTAATTAACTGAAAAGGAAAATCAACTGTTCCTACACTGACCACGGACTATTTACGTCTCTGGTCTATATTTTTTTTCTATACACTTGGCCCACCAACAGGTAAAAATGACTTAGAGCTATGCAAAAAAACAAGTTTATTAAAGATTATTAAAATAAATACCTCATTATATCAGAGGCAATGAAGCACAGCAGACCAAAGTTTGGTGTTTTTACATTTAACATCTGTGCGATCAATAACATAATCATGATCCCATAGACATCCAGAAATTGTGCAAAATGAAAGAAGAAAACTGAGAGGGGGTGAGGGAGTGCGTCTTTTCAAGCTTTGTCTGAATGGAGGCCTCAGACCTTGAAAACCCCTCCGATGCAATCCAATACAGCTATCCTGACAATGCTATTTCTATAATGTTGTCCAGTAACACCTTTAACTATAACCTCAATATTAAACATATAAATGAATTTCCAACAATGTCACCACAAACTGAACATTTTGTGCTTTGTAAAGATGTCTGTTATCGCTGAGCTGTTGCATTGGGATTGCATTCGATTGCAGAGGTATACCTAGTAAGGCAACCAGTGCCACTGGGTGTATATGTCGATTGGGTGTTTTCAAATAAAATGTCATTTTAAAAACAATTTTACAGTTGTTTGGTTTTTTTTTGCATTCTGCTGAGATAGCTCACAGTGGAACTGAAGACAGGAAGAGAGAGAGAGAGAGAGAGAGAAACATGACATGCAACACAGGTCCCCAGTCTATTTTATATGTTGATGGCATATGTCTCAACCACTCGCCACCATGACGCCCCCAAACATTTTTTAAAAAGGTGTTGTTTACAGTAGCCAAAGTAATGAAGCAGCTGCACGTTGTTAGAATTCATTTAACTGGTTATGGGATGTGTTGGTGGAGAATGATGAATTTTAGTTTGTAGCAACTATTGTTTTTACCGTATATGTATTATATGTATGTGATATTTGGAATTTGGTCATTTACTTCTTAACATTGATTATGGGGTTTACATCACTGAACTTTAGTGGTATTCAAACTCTGCATTGATTTTCAAATTTTTGTATGGCTCACAGAAGCTCTTCTCTCCAAGTGTTAAGTGTGTAATCAGTGATTTCGTGTCTTTATTTACCTCTCATAACATAATGGGTGAAAATGATTCTGGAAATCTGCAATTAAAGCACTTCTCAGGATTGTGGTGTGCCTGTGAATAGTGTGATTAATGGAAATAGCATTGAAGAATGATAAGGTTTAGTCTAGACATCATGGCTCCTTGCATGCAATATCGGGTGATATGTTTCATGATGGCTGCAAGAAGAGAGGCTTTTGTCTGACAATATTAACTTACTTTTAGACAAACAACCTTTGATCTTCATTTATAAAAAGTCTCCTCTTCATTATCAGTTGATATATTGGTATTCTTTATTGTGGTAGTGGGAAAACACATAAACATAAACAATGTTGTCACTGTTCATTCAGAAAAGCACCACAGTTTGTCTGCCTCCTCAGCTCGATTGTGTTGTCTGAACTGAACATGAATAACTTTTTCTATGCTGCACCTCATCGTGCTGAATTTTAGATGTATTTTTGATACATTTGCACCTCCACTGGAATACAGAAATGACCTTGAAACTGATATAACGCTGCAAAATGTAACACTCACGGCCAAATAAAACTTGGCCACCAGATGCAGTATGCTTTACCCTGCAGAAAGATAAAGCAACAAAATGTTGTGTTTGGAGTCTGTGATTGTCTTTCGGAGGAGTGGGCAGTTTGACATCAAGGATTGCCTGCATACCGACAACAAGCATTCCACGAGTTTGTTAATTTCCCGTACCAGTTAATATAGAGACTATATTTAGAAGACTGACATGTTACAGCTTGCTCGGCTTTATAGGAGTCGTCTGCACATTTTGCCCACTGAGCCAACTCAGACTGCACATTACCACCACCCCATGAGTTTTCAAGCTGTGAAATTCCTGATATTGTTAGTGCCTCACTGCTCTCTGTGCTCATTGATAAAAATGTCTGGTTTTCAGGCTGAATTTCAGCATTGGTGATGGTTTAATGTTGCATGAAGGCAATATATTTTTCATTTTTTCAGAATAAACTGTAAGTTGCTGATATCACTGGATGTACATACCTACAACAACAGTTGAAGATTTAATTTGATGAATTAATTAAATTACATTTACGTATTTAAGGTTTTCTCCAGGTTTTTTAAAGCACATTGATGAGTGTTACACCTGAGAGAGAATGAAAAATAGCTTTTGTGGACAACTGCTCACACACAGCTGCACTCTGAGGAAAGACTATCTCTCCAATCTAAAAGTCTAAGCAGTCCAGTGACACACGGCATTGTAATGAAATTGCACCAAGATCTGATTATGATTGAGGTGAGGCTCGATTTATAACTCCATGGACCAGTCTCTTTCCACTACTTTAGGCTGCTTTTGATCTCACCTAGCTATTACCTGTCAATCACAGTAATGTGCTGTGGGTATCTAGGCCCATTTTCCAGCTGCTTGCTTTGATGCCCACCAGCAAGTTGTCAGTGCTCTCTATATATACCATGCACTTCTTTAGAGGGCTAATTTCATGCTTGATGAACTTGAAGAACTGCATTATTGATTGTTGTTTTCTACTTTCTTAATAGTGATTATCATTTGTGACTCAAAAGCGGCAGCAGGGCGATAGGGACTCCCTTCCCCTGCTCTTTTCATTAAATGCCAGGCTATTTTATTTTCATGGGTGCTTAAATTCTGATCAAAACCTTTTAGAGGGAAAAAGATCTCCGATTTGTTCTTCCAGTCCTGGCCAGCCCTTTAACATCAAAGTAGTGACCCTGAAAATATGTGAAAGCGTCCTTTTGGTTAATTTTCCCTCAGAGAAAAAAAAACTTGATCAAGAAGAGGGTTGAAAGCTAGGTCAAACAGCAATGCTCAGTGTGAAAGTTTAGTTTAATCAAAGGATATAAATGAAACGGCATGGGAAGGGCAGAAAAATCCAATCTTTTCTTACATTTCCTATCTGTCCCATCTTATTCTGTAGTTGGTGGGTGGTGAGTTTGATCTGGAGACAAACTTCATTATCCAGGATGCGGAAAGCATCGGCTGCATGGCGGAGCTGTTGGAGCACTGCGACGTCACCTGCCAGGCTGAAATCTGGAGCATGTTCACCGCCATTCTTCGAAAAAGTGTTCGAAACCTGCAAACAAGCACTGAGGTGGGCCTCATCCAACAGGTGCTGCTCAAAATGAGCTCGGTGGATGACATGATTGCAGGTATGATAATGGTGTACATTTATTTTCATTTTCAGATTGATTTGTTTTTATCTTAATGTCCAGCAAGTAACATATACATACACAGGTTATGCCTTCTTGGTTTTGGCTTTTAGTCAAGCAACAAAACCATCTGTCTGTCTTGCACCGAAGGTCTTCAACAAAATCATTAAGGAAAATATACTTTCAAAACTATTTAGTTTTACTGCTAGTATTGTTGTAATAGTGCAGCATTTAATATTGAAACTATGGAATACAAGGGACATTTACAGAAAGAAGTGTTTGAAGTATGTTTTTTTAATTTGGTTGATTTTACAACAGTTTTACCATTGACATCCCCTTTTACTTTGTCGGTAAATCCATCTATTCAATTTAAATTCTCACCCAATTTCTTGTCAATTATTGATAAAAGTTTTCAGTTGTTTTGTCTTTTACATAACAGATCCAGAATATTTTAGATATATTTGAAATTAAACTGCAGTTGCTTTTTGCCCCACTAGCAGCAATGTCTTAGGATGTTTTTAAAAAAAAGATTCTAGACTTACTGCCGTGAGGTTTTGTATGGATGTTCATTTATTTAGGGATTAGTAATTATCCAGAGGCTAACTGAAATTGAACTTGACCAACATCTATTTATTAATACAGTGCACAGTACAGTATTTCAATCGGATGGTTGGATTTCCATTAGGTATTGTAGCTGGTAGGTCTAGACTCCTAGTAGCAATTTTTTTTGTCTTGTCTTTAGTCTTTTGATAAATTTAGGCCAGGAATGATCCCCTTAAATCTGTATTCAGGGCACTGTGTGGTTGTCTGTGGGAGTCAGTGTCACTTTGATATTTTGCACTGTGCAAATTACATCCATACCTTGTGTAACCTGTGAATTATGTTTCAGCTGATGAAATCCAAATGCATTTTTCCATTTTTGACACTGTGCCTCTAAGTTAAACAATTTACCATTTAGACATCACTTTGATTTGCAAGTCAGTTTCCATGTAATTGTGGTGGAGGTGTTTCTGTGATAGATATAATGGAATTTCACAGACAATGAACTCAGTGAGAATGAAGCTGAACTAAAGTGAACCTGTTTTTTTATTATCTCAGGAGTTGATGCATATGAATACTTTTTCACCATGAGGACCTCCTGTGTAGTGTGGATAAATTATAATATCTATAAAATATAGCTACATTTTATGATCATCCTCTCTCTCCTCTTTTTTATGTGTGTGTGGTAATGCATGCATGCTATCTTGCCTTTAAAGACTTGCTAGTGGACATGTTGGGAGTGCTGGCCAGCTACAGCATCACAGTGAAGGAGCTGAAGTTGCTGTTCAGCATGCTACGAGGGGAAGGAGGCCTCTGGGTAAGTGATGGCAGGGACCCGATGCAGTGAGTAAGGTAGAAGTGTGTGTTTTGTGTGTAGTTTGACACTGTCACTTAAGTTGCCTCCAGAGAGCCATCACACTGATATGTTCGGGGCTTGTTCTGTTATTGACTAACTGCAGAATGAGGTAACTGACAGTGTATTGACTGCAATCCAAACAGTCAGACAGAAAGCCTTGACTGCCTTGTTATTACTCTTTTCATCACCTGTGCAGCCAAAGCATGCGGTCAAAATGTTGTCGGTGCTGAATCAGATGCCCCAGAGACACGGCCCAGATGCCTTCTTCAACTTTCCTGGTCGCAGTGCAGCAGTAAGTTTTTGCATGTTTCTGTTCTGCAGTCCAAATTATGGAGCCCTGCAGATGATCAGGGTTAAACAACTGATAATTCATGCACACAAATAAATAAGACTGTCTTGTATACTCTTGTGTACTTGGTTGAGTAATGGGTGTCAAAGATCACTCATGTTATGTTCAACAACACAAAACTGAAGTAAATCCATGTATCAAAACCTTCTTTACCTCTGATGTCTGCTGGGCTTTACATGTGTATCACAGCAAAGGTTACTTTTTGTTATACTTCCGTTTTGATTGACCCATTCCAATCCAACATACCTCATAAATCTTTCATTTTATGGTTTCCTATGCTAAGAAAACAGGTGTGAACTTGCTTTTATATGCAGATAGAAAAAGCTCCACTAATACTGTATATACATATATACTGAGTGTAGTAAGAGCCCAAATTAATGAAAGGGTTTATGTATGAGAAAATTTGAGTAACCTACCCTGTGTAAGAAAGATTGACATCGTAGTGTGACTAAGTTTAAATGGCTGCAGTTCGGAGTTGCAGATAGTTTATCTTGGGAGCTGACATATTGAGATAAACCAGATACATAGCAGAGGGAGATGGCAAGCCTGTGACATGACATTACACTTGCTACAGAGTAGAGCATACTGTTTATTACCATTGCAAATCACATGGATTAAAATAAATAAATGATTTATCACATAAATTTCATGAAATGCAATTATTCACTGATGATTAAAGGGTTGTTTTAAACTACTCCCCAAAATCTTAGATATTAATGGCAACTTTACCCAAATGCAAATAGGACTTGAATCGTGGCTGGATTCATTTCAAAAAGGCTGGACACTTGCCATCATAAAATATTCAGCAGGAGCAGGAATTATAATGCCATCAGTTTCCCAGTAACATTGAGGAGGTCACCACAAATTTGCAATTTCCTGTGTTTTATTAAGTTTTATAAAATGATTCATAAATTAGAACGTATATACGTACCTTTTTATTCGTCTTGTATCTTATAAATCTGTTATCTATATTGTCTGTATTAGGCACAAAAGAAACATAAAAAAGTCAGTTGGCCTGTAACACCTCAGTTTTGTGCTATTGCTCCAGTTTATCTCTACATTGTGTAGTTGTTACATTAACCTGCTCTAGTAGCGACAGTGTAGCAGATTATGAAACAGTTGTCTCTCATACTGCATTTTTGAGTCTTTTTTTTTGTTCCAGGCCATTGCTTTACCTCCGATTGCCAAGTGGCCTTATCAAAGTGGGTTTACATTCAACACCTGGTTCAGAATGGATCCCTTGAATAACATCAATGTTGACAAGGACAAACCATATCTCTACTGGTGAGTACACAATTATATACATTTATGCTCCATATTTCCAATGCCCTCAGTACGCTCCTAGCTCTCTCACAGGTGCTTTAAGACCAAAGAGAAGAAAATTACACTTTCCTGTTTTTCATCAATCTAATTGCTTTAGCTTTGTATTAGAAATCATTCTCTCTCTGCAGAGACCGATAAAGCTACCAGCAGCTTTATTGACAAAGCAATATGGTGTCTGATACTCTGTGACCTACAGTGATTTTCCCATCGAAGAAGATTATGACAGAACTTGTTTTTCAAGGTTAAACTAGTTTTACAGATACTATTTTTCACACACTAGCAACACTTACGTAATGTGGTTTGTGAAAGGGCCTCATTTTTTCCAGATAACGTTCATGAATTATAATAGAGAAAGAAGGGAATTAGGTGAGATTATTGAGATTGAAACCCATGGAAGCATGAACTACGGCGACTGGTACTGGCTGTTACAGAGGTGGACGGCTGCAGGGGGAGGCACTGTGGAGGTATTAATTTAGATTTTAATATCAGCCACATAAGACCCACATACCAGCTCTTGCAGGGGCTTGTGGATAATTAGTGCTAAAATCAATAACCCAAAAGTGCAGTGATCTTCTGCAGCCGTTTTTTTTTTCAGTTTATGAGAAGAACTTTGCGAGAAAATCACAAAATACAATGAGACATATAAAAGTGTTGTGGAAGGGAATGGGATGAAAGGGTAGACTTAGCTGACGGGGAAGACTGTTTACATGATTTGGTCAGAGATAACAGTTAGTTCACTGTATCATCTGCTGCTGGCTGCCATTGCTTTACCTGGATCACACAGTTTGAATGAAAGAATCAACTCACCTTGGAAGGACTCGCTCTACGTTCCACTGATGTGTAACATCAAAAAGGAAAAAAAAAAGAAATACTGGCTAAGCTAAGTTGTTGGTATTCATGTGGCAGCAATTCCTCACTGACAGAGTCACAAAAAGCCTGAGATATGCCAAGCTAATCCTGTTTATGCATTGCTCTGAGGGCCTCATAGCTCAGTGGCCGGGCATGTAGACAACAAAAACGAATTGTATCTTCAGAAGCGGACCATGGTTTGCTGCTTTTCACCTGATGTGCAATCACAAGCAGGTTTGTTCAGTGGAGCGTCTTGGCTGGCTCTGCGGTAGCTAGGTGTGGGGCTCTATATCTCTCGCTCCCTGCATGCACCCCACTATATAAAAGCCTAGGCTCTCTTTATCTGCCTTGACAAAGAGGTCTGTTTGTTTTAGATGATCCCAGTGGGTGGTTGTGGTGGTGTGGGGCTTTGAAGGTGGTAGACTGCTATAGACCTAAAGACTGTAGGAGTGTAGTGAGTACATGTCAGCAGTGAGAAAGATGTTCAGTCCAAGCAGGGAAAGAACAGAAAACTAGTGTGGTATTGCAAGGTTGTTTGTTTGTGTGCATAGTGTGGGGCTGTACAGGGTCTGCTGCTGTACACAGGTGGCATTTCCTCAGTGCTGACATTATATATCTTTTATCTACCGAGTCAAGAAGATCAAAGTGGAGGGATTAGACCCTGGGAGGATCACCGAAGTGTGCTCATCAACTAAGTGTTCTTTTCCTTTGTAGTTCTTACCATGCATGCAAAATTTGCGTTGCTGTATTCTCACCTCAGTTTTTTCCCTGTTTTCACTGGATAAATGTAATATCATAGTTCTCATAAGATTTTTTAGAATTACCTGTCAATTACTTCTGCAAATTGCTTTGGGTTTGTATAGCGCAAGGCATTCAAAGATGATGTTGACCCCAATCTTATTATGCAGAAGGAAAGCACTTTTTCACTTCAGTTGTTGGTTGGTATGCACAGTATCATCGAAGAGGAAATATCCAAACAAGTACTTAAGTTCAAAATGCAGACTGCACAACTTGACGGTCAGAAATCTTCTACCTCAGTTGGGTTGAAATATATTTTATTATGCTTGTTCATAGATGAATTAGGTTAAGCCCGTCAAGTTTGCAGCTCATAATATATAATGTGCCTGTCTCTGTTTACAGCTTTCGTACCAGCAAGGGCATTGGGTACTCTGCACATTTTGTTGGTAACTGCTTGATCGTGACATCACTCAAGTCTAAAGGAAAAGGTTTCCAGCACTGTGTGAAGTATGATTTTCAGCCCAGGAAGGTAAGCGCAGCTTTGGCAATCAATCAGTCCATGTGTTTTAGCTATTATACAACATATCATTATGTTATTTTGACCTATATAATTTTCATATGCCTGCTTCAAAGGTATTATTAAAAAGAAATAGGTTTTGAAGCCATTTGAATTGAAATATTGGATGTGTGGATTATATGTGTCGCAAGCAAATACTTCAAATATAAGTAGGCCACGTCTGAACATGAATTATATAAACCATCAAATACCAGTATTGCATAGTATTCCATAACTGTGGCTTTAGATTTCTTTATAAACAAACAGAAATCACAGTGCTCTTTTAAAATGCTCCACAGTTTTCTTACCCCTGACTCCCTACCTACCACCTGTTCTTTTATTGGCATTACAAAGTTGTATGTCTACACATAGACCTGCAGTGTTTAAGACCCCCAGTGGTGTCTTACAGGTGTAATTGGATGTAAATGTAGATGAGAAAATGAAACTTAATTTAGCGTGGAATGTCAGTGTAGTGTAGCTGTCCCTGCAGAGAAGCAAAACAGGCTCAAAGCATGTGTCAAACAATTAGAGCCTTCACCGAACACCTGGGAACAACTATTCATCCCATTCCTACTGCCACAGCACAGGTATCATTTTGTAGAAGCTCTTAGAAGATAAAACATGTTGAATTAAGTTTTTAATTGATTCTGGGTTTAGACATCTGCAGATAAGTGCCATTCTAAATTATCTGCAGGCTGCTTGCACTCTTCCCCTCAGCCATGAATCCTCTTTTAAGTGTCCTTACCTTTGTGTGCAGACGGCTGTAATTCTATTAGACTGCTCACAGTGCCCTTCATGGGTCAAACTAATAAACAGTGGGCGCAGAGTCACGTAAGAGATGGACAACCTATTGCCTACTGCTGTGAGTGGTTGTGCCAGTCTCGCCATTATGTAACGTTACATTCAATTAATGTGTTACAGTAAGCAAACAAGCTTTAACTGCAGTGATTGAGAATTAACAGGGAAAAGTCAAATTACTTAAGAGAATACAGTACATTTTCCCCGTAAAGTGAAGAAGTTGTGGCTTAAGTGATCCCTCTGTTTTCAACTTTTCAATTCATAGAGGCAAAAAATGATCTGATTAAGGAGAAAACTTTAGACATTCACTGTTAAATCAAAAGAACTGACATCAACTGCAGCATCAGCAACACAGTGTGAGATAAAAAGAGAAATCTTGAAGAAATAAAATGCAGCGTGTCCTGATGTGAATAAATAATATATATGTACAGGATCTGTGTAAGGAAATCTGAATTAATACAAGTAAAATAAGTTTAATACTGATTTTGTTTTTTTTATATTACTTTATAAACGGTACTTCATATATGTTCCACTTTATTGACTTGGTCACATATGTTCACATATCAGTATATGCACACAGGAAGGGCTTTCAAATCTTAAGAAATACAAAAATAGAAGTTTATTCATGTTACCCTCTCTTAACATACAGTTGTTTAGAGACCAGTACTTTTTTTTTAAATTAATTTTGGACCCACTTCACATGACATCTTCTAAAGTCACCTCTCTAGCTGTAGACTGGATTTGAGTTGACTAACTGTAGTTAGGGTTTCATGCCTGAATAATTTCAGCCAGTATCTGACGTGGCTTTGTTCAGAGTGAAAAATGAGTTGTCTTACCTCTTCTTAGCCTTTTCTCTGATCTATTATTCACAATGTTCCAGTGCAGATTTCCGAACATTAGGTGGCAAACCTCAAGGCCGTGGCTTTCTAGTAACTTTGAGGTTTATCTGAATTTCCTGGCTTTAAAAGAAACAAATTGGAGAGCTTTCCAGAAATGTTGGAGATGTTCCTCAATAAACCTTTCCAATTTAGTTAAGTGTGGTTAAATGTAGTCAAGTGTAACAACTTTGTACTTGCAAAAGAAAGATAATTACTCACTTAATTAGTGTCTGTCTTCTCACCCGCAGTGGTACATGATCAGTATAGTTCACATCTACAGCCGCTGGAGGAACAGTGAAATCAGATGCTACGTTAACGGACAGCTTGTTTCTTATGGAGACATGGCATGGCACGTCAACACAAATGACGTAAGCACTCCTCTTTTTACTCCTCCTCACTGCTGTCATCTTTTCTCCCCGGGTATGATGTTTCTTGGCATAGGACTGACTGAGGCTGCTACATCTACGTTTTCGCCTGGTTGGAAATTGTGAGATGAAAAAAAAAACCCACACATCTTCAATAGTGCTCATTGGGTAAAATGAGTTTTAGCATATTAACATGGATTTATCTCAGAAATATGACTGGCATTTCAGGCTTAATTTAAATATCCATTTGTCTCAGAGATGTGTGCTGCAGTAGAGGGTGGAATATGGAACATCAAACATTTGGGGAAGAGATTTATGTTTAGAGAATATATATATGTATAAAGTGAAAATAGTTCAATCTCAGTAGCTCTTGTATATATGTGTACAGAATATTTAAATACCATCAGACTGAAGCACTCTTGTTTATAATGTATGACAACATTGTGAGTCATGGTGTAACAGTATCATATGTGTGTTTGAATGACTCTAAAGCAGAATGAAAGTTGTTGTCACACATGGTTCTTAAGGACAGATTCAAAAAGCAATTTGCACTCGTACAGATGAGACACATTTCCAAAGGTGTGCAGTATGAATACTGTAGCTGTGTATTCAAGGGAAGATTGCACAAATGACAGGTTGAGATATAAGTGTGGTTCATGAAATATTCCACCACATTAACTAAAGCTGCTTTAATTTGTGATGGATCGTTTTTCTGGAGTAATTTAAAAATCAGGAGGGAGCATTATTCTGATGTGGAGCAGGGTTTTATTATGTGATGGCTGCACAAACAGCTGCATCACAAAGACACTAGCAATCATACACACCAAGAGAATAGTTTAGATAAGATTAGCCTATTTCATTTTTTTTTTACTTTGTATTTTCTGTTATATAAGACAAAAACGTGGGGCCACACAGTTATATTGGATAGTATACACAGGAATTGTTGGTCACAGAATGGTACACATTCAACTTTCGGCTTTATTTTTCCCAATTGCATTTAATCTATTTTCAGTTGTCATACTCTAATAGTCAGGTATGCATCCCTTTTAAACCAGTACTCTTCTCCCTTTTCTTTCTGTAATCTTAAATAATGTCTATTCTTTCTCTACGAAGCCAGGGTCTTGTAATTGCCTTTTTGCTTGCTGCCATTAGAATTTTTAGTAAATATTTGTCTCTGATATCCAGATCCTTAGATATATTTCCTAAGTAAATAGAGAGACAAGTAAACGCAATATAAAATCCTAATATACTCTTAATTGCGGCTTGAACATCAACCCAGAAAGGCTGTAGGGTGGGGTAAGACCAAAAGATGTGCATGTGACCTGCCATTAGATGTCCACACTGTCTCCAGCATTGATTTTGAAGTCCAGTTTGTTTTGATTTTAGATCAGAGCCTAATTCAACCAAGCAATGGACATGGAAAAATGTATTGAATGCCACACCATATGAGAAAATGTTATACACCCTTGCAGTTTATTACATTTCCCTGGATTAGGATTACTTAAACAGAAAGGTCATGTAACTGAACACTATGAAAATAATATATTGGAATCTGACAGAGTGTTGCTACATTTGGTGAGTTTAAGATGAAAAAGCTGAGACATTGTAGGTAGGCATTTGCTGTACTTTGGAAACATGGATAATATGTATTATCTATATACTTTCTGTTTCTCGTCAACCTATGTCTTTCTTGCTGTTGAGGCTCTGATGTTAAAACCTAAATGTTTAAAACATTGTCTTTAGCCTTCTCACTTAAAAAATAGATATGTATTGCCATCTTTCTGTTCATGCCAACTTCGAAGTAGGACTGAAACTAGAAGTCTGGGTAATTGTTTCACACATTTTCACACGCTTAGTTAGCATAGTTATGTCAAGTAAGATTTATTTTGTTTAGAAACATTTCATTGTTATATTACTCAGTCTGTACTGACTGTTTCTTCTCTTGTTATTTAAGTTATTATTTCACTGCTGCTGTTCAGTTCTATCTCAAATGCAATCACAGCAAATATTCTCGAGGTTACAGGTTTCCTATCTTTGTAAATCAGAGGTGTTGTTTTCCTCTAACCATTAGGGAATTGTCAAGGTTGACACTGAAACAATATAGCAGGTGATGTTGTTATAGATAGATACATACAATTTCTAGTTGAAAATATATAAAGAAAAATACTAATTTGTGCATGATGTTGTACTTTTTGCTTTTTTCCCCTCTGCCTAATTCAGCTGTGTGTGAATTTGGATATTTATTCTTCAGTCCTAAAGTAAAAATTGATGTAGCCTTTTATCTCTATGTCCCTCTTGCAGAGTTATGATAAGTGCTTCCTCGGGTCCTCTGAGACAGCAGACGCTAACAGAGTATTCTGCGGGCAGCTAGGAGCTGTCTACGTGTTCAGCGAAGCCCTCAATCCCGCTCAGATATTTGCAATTCATCAGCTAGGACCAGGCTATAAGGTATGTACTTGAGGGTGACTAAATTAGATTACATGTAAGCAGTCTGCATCACCTATCAATCTGTGAAATCAATGCCCGTTGCTGCCCTGCCGCAGTTCCTTTGCCATGTGTCTCCGTCCTGGGAGCAATGCTTTTCCTCCCAGATAAACGGCTGCATAAATTACCTACTTCTTAGAAATAATGGCACAATACACCGAAGGAAGCAGCAGGCACTCGGAGGGGATAGAGTCCAGAGCCGACTTATATCAGCTGCAGCAGGTGTAGCAGTCCCAAGCTTCTTTACAAAGACCAAAAGATTGTGAATATAGAAAGATGCTGACCTATCCAGAAGAGGATTCAGCTGTGAATGTTAATCATATGGTGACAAAATATTTGGTTTGCACACATACATTTAAATTAGTTTTATATATTTATTTTATATACTCTTTATCCCCAAATATTCCACTCATCTTGAATAGAGGCTGTGCCCTCAGTCTATTTTCAGATGGCTCTCACTCCCTCTCACTGTCTTACTTTTGCCCCTGATTCTCACAAAGTGCTGCTGTTTCTTCATAGTCTTAAGCCCTGCACTCTGTCACAAATGGAGGAATGACATGCACTGCCAAATCAGCTTTGAATACAGGATATGTCTCAGACTATTTACAATATCTCTTTTCATTTTACACCAGCTCTGTTTGTTCTCTAGCTGCTTTGAAGACAAAATTAGGCTTTTTTATAGCTTGAAGGAATGCGTCTTTGGCATTGTCATTATAAAATGTACTCTATTGAAGATTGTGAGATGGATGATTGTGGTTTCAATCAGATCTATGAATGCCTGGAGAATCCCAGGAGAACTCATTGTTTGGTCTTCTCACTAATGGCTAGTGACTTGCCGTTTACCTCCTTAATTGTGGTTCTAGACCTTTTATTAGAGAGGTAACACACAGTGAAGCAATCCTCCAGATTTCTCAAAATAATGAAGAGCGTGTCCCGGGGAGACAATTACCCGCAATTGATCAAGCTGTGAATGGTGTTGGTAATTGTGAGTATGATAGAGCCAGCCAGGTGAGTTGAGGAGGAAGGTCAGAGACTTGTCAGGCCCACTGATTGGTTGTTGTAATGGGAGTGCTGTCCAGGGGGACAAGAGGCCTGTCTGTTGTAGCCTGTCTGTTTTAATTGAAAACCGCCGAAAGAGTCTGCATGCAGCAGATCACAGGATGAGTCTGCTACAGTATGTACATTGGACTGTCATTATATCTGTTTCAACTCAGCTCCACAGCCGGAGAAAAAACTTCTGAGCTGATATATGATTTATTTTCTGATCCATGGTCCTCTCATCCATGTTTGATGTTTGACACGCTTTCCTTTGCTCACACAGTGTACTGAATGTAACTGTAACTTCTGCGGTTAGTTGAAATGCAGAGATTATTGCTGCCTAGGGTTACTATTTCTACTGCACGTTATGATTTATGGCGTAAATCTGACAGACCTGTTAGTAGAATCTGCTCCCTGGGCTTTTTTCATATTGCTGAAATTCAAAATTGCACTTTGAACTGAGATGGACTCATGGTTATTTAATTTAAAGTACCAAACAAATTTTGCCGTATATAGCTATTTCTATGACTGCCTTTCCCAGCCATTCTGAGATAACATCACAGGGCAGTGTTGGGTCTACAGACTCTTTACTCTGAGGCTGACAGAAGCTGGCTGTCTTATCAGACTGTCATTCATCACTGCTGTTTTAGCAGATCTCATAAGTTTTGGTGTTAGTTTAGGAAATTGTGGACTGAAAGATTGTTACAAGGGAATTGCCTCACAACTTTGTGAGATGTAACTCAGGATGAAGAATAGAATTCCCAGTGGATACTAGCAAACACATATTTTTTAAAAACCCTCTTAGTTTTTATTCTGGATAACTACTTATTTCTTTCCAGCTCTGGGAAATAGCCTGCCTGGAGTCATACAGTAAAATCTGTCACAGCAATATCCAGTGACAGCTTCACTGAGCACAAACTATTAGTCATTGACTTGACTAGTCAAAACAATTAAGCCATTACTTTATGTCTTTTCATATGATGCACTGAGAGTTATTTCTGTCCTTGCCCTCTATCATCATTACCATATGTGTTCTACATGACGCAGATTAGCCCATTGAATTTGTGCCAACACTGCTCTGCAGTATGCACCACAGATTGCTGTAGAAAAGACTGAGGAGCTGCACAGTTCTGGTCCGCCCTTGTCAGGGAAGACAAATGTTATCTCAGTGTAGAGCCCATGCAATCATAAGATATCTGAACACTACATGAAAAGATCATCGATTTCAAAAACTGTATATACAGTCAGTATATACCTGGATATACCAGGCTCCACAATTACATTTACAAATTACAATTACAAGAAAACTTTAAATGTTTTCCATCATAATACTAGCTTTGGGGCAGCCATTAGATACACATTTTGTTTTATTCAAGTAAGTGCAAATTTCCTGGATATTTCCCTGGATCTGGCTCTGCAACTAAAGTTAATCACTTTTCCTTGGCCAATGGCCTAACCTTTTACTCTGTTTTATTGAAGTCTATAAACAGCTTTTTGAGAAGCATGATCTGATGAGCTAAACAGCAGCCAACAACATCAATAAATATTTAATGGAACTTTTTAAACTTTTTATGTTGTTTTAATATTAAAAAAATAATTAGAAACAGGTACATTGTCGACTATATTGTGTCATACTATATATGCAGGTACTGTAGCATGGGATTGTCCCGAGCTTGTCTAGTGTCTGCCTGTTTGATTTAGAGAGTAGTGGGGAAGCCCCCGGTCAATGACTGCCTTTGGCACTGGGAGAAGAAGAAGGTAACTGTGCTGTAATTCTTTTATTTGATTGGCCTGTGGAATGATGCTGTCATGCTACGGGGTTTGTTACTGTAGCTACAACCCATGAGATCATTATTTTCACACTGCGGCAGGGCCCATGTTAAAGTGCAGGGCAATGGAGCTTGTTATTTCATGTCACTTGGGTTTCTTGAGTAGGAACTTTTGAAGAATGTTAGAGACTACATGATGAGATGCACACTGACTGCTGTGTGGACTTGATCATAGCAGATGAACAGAATACCTCTTATGTCTTTTTTATAATCTGACTGCAAGGAGGTATGCCATTAAATTTGGCTCAACCCTCTCAGTTTCTCTCAGTTGCCTGTGAAGAATAATGCTGCCAGGCAACAGATATAACGCTAGCAAATATACATGGATTTTAAACAATATTGTTTGGAAACAGGATTCACTTGCCAAAAGTAAAATATAAACCCCAGAGGATGAAGTTCCAGAATCAGTAAACTGACGTATTAAGATCTGAAACAGTTTTGATATGAGCTGATTTAAATGTATGTTGTGCCATATTTGTAGCAGTTATATGATATAACGAATAGTGTTGTATCTTTCCTCTAAAGCACTTCAAAGGCACTCAGAATAGAATGCACAATCATTGTACAATTGACAACCTGAGTCAGCTCACCTTTTTATCCATTCACTCCCTTACTGTAATCCAGATTTAGATGCCTTCAGGCAGGTGCATGAACCCTGTTTGCTTCTGTTGCATAACATATTGTATTTATCTACAGTCCCTCTAGGACCAGATGGTTGTTTCCTCTCTGGTACTTCAGCACTTTCTGTCTCTCCGTATCCTATTACCATCCTCTTGCTGTCCATGAGTCAGATAGGAAAGGAAAAACATTTCTCTCATTCATTAATAATTCAACCCAACTGATTAAAGGACTTGATTTCCTTATTAAGCATGTTCCATTCACATGGCATTGATGGATTAAGTCTGCTCATCTGTCATCAGCTAATTGATTAGGTAAATTAAGGCTAGTCTGTTATTGATCAGCTATTTGTTATGGTTGCCATAATTAATGTGTTACTGAGCCACTGACTGATGAAACCTCCAGTTCTTTTTACACAGCCATCAAATGGATTCAGATGTCTGAAGGCATAATGAAACATAAGACACATTAAAACATATAAGAGACAGGTTTGATCCCTGTAAAGAGTTAATGTATCACTGCAATCAGTCACTGGTGCAATTTGTTTAGTATTCATAAGAATTAAAAATGGTCAGAACAACATAAGGTTTATAGATGTTTCTCAGCATGGTGTAATTTAGTTCTAGTTGTTCTCTCTCTTTATCTCTCTCTCTCTGCTATGAGGGTGGAGGGATAAAATTAATAAATAAATCTGAGAAATAAATACTGAGCCTATATTGTTATCTGAACAAGTATTTGCATAATGTTTTGACTCTGAGTCTGATTACATTGGATGCGAAGTGACACAGTAACTCAAATCTAAATTGCAGACTGCCAGCTTTAATTTGGAGGTGTTTTCAGCCATGCTGGATCAACTCTTCTCGTATTAGCTCCAGTTGCAATGTGTATTTGGACAGAAAAAATATTTCTTCCATAAAGAAACCTATGCATTGGTAAAAATCTTAATGTGTTCTAAGTAGAAGTCTGCAATCATAGCACAACCATTTCAGTGTAGCTTCATGAGAATTCAGCAGTGAATGTGCCCGGCTTGAAATCGCACCAGAAAGGGCAAGAGTAAATGGCTGGGTTAAATTAATGCAGGTAAACAATCATCTGTGGTATCAAAGCAACTCTGATCCTGCTCATCAGCCCCTGTTCCTCCTAATCATTGTACTCTGCAGTAGAACTTAAACAAACAATGTTCCCACAGAGATAAAAAGGCAAGGATCCAGTGTAAAAACTCAAAGTAAAACAAAATGAAGCCAACGGAGAAACACATACCTACATAACACAACCATATAATGTCATATGTCCTCTATGGTATCTTGCAACATGAATGTAGTTTTTCTTAAAGGTCCAGTGTGTAACATTTAAGAGGATTTATTGGCAGAAATTAATATGCATAGTTTCATTAGTGAAATTAGGAATTGTTGTGTTTTGTTACTTTAGATTGAGCCTTTTATATATACAGATATTGCAGGTTGCCTTCCCTGAGTCCGCCATATTTAACAACCATATTTCTACTGTAGCCCAGAAAGGACAAAGCAAACACTGGCTATGGATAAGGGTGTTGGCGAATTTTGCGAGTTTCGCAGCCTCTGTAGTTTCTCCTTCACGCTTGGAAGGGGAGGGTGAAGCGAGGGAGTTGTGATCTGCAACTACACACCTAGATGCCACTAAATGCTACGCACTGGACCTTTAAGCATTCTAACACCATACTGCACTTTCACTTCATCCCCTGACGCACTGATATGTTGTTAATTATGTCTAGAACAGTTTGCATCATTAAACAGCAAATGTACCATTGCGTTGCGTCATTGATTGTAGCCTTACAGAACAATATATAATAATAAATATAAAAAAGCATTATCAAAATGTTGATATACTGTAAAGCTTTTGGTGCCCAGACTGACCTCTAGAAATGTGTGGTTGCCAAAAATTCCTCTCGTCATTTTCCATTCTTGAATGAGTATTTTTTAATCAAGTTATAATTAAAAGATAACACCCAAGCGACACTGATAGGATGCATGAGCAGGAAGGAGCTTCTCTATCACTCTCTCCTTCTCGTACTTTATCCTTCACTTATTCTGCTTTCTCTCTTTCTATTTTTCTTAGAGCACGTTTAAGTTCAAGTCAGAGAGTGATATCCACTTAGCTGAGCATCACAAGCAGGTGTTGTATGACAGCAAGTTGGCCAGCTCCATCGCCTTCACCTATAACGCCAAGGCCACTGATGCCCAGCTCTGCCTGGAGTCCTCGCCTAAAGAAAATGCCTCCATCTTCGTGCACTCACCACACGCCCTTATGCTACAGGTTGAAGCTGGCTCTGACTCTGTTTACCCTGTTTTCATTTCTGTTGCACTCCTTTGGCATTACAAATGTGTGTTTCATTGGTTTTATATTATCCTCGCAGGATGTAAAAGCCACAGTGACTCACTCCATCCACAGCGCCATCCACTCCATTGGTGGGATCCAAGTGCTCTTCCCACTCTTTGCTCAGCTGGACTACCATCAGCTGAACGACAGCCAGGTGGAACCCACTGTATGGTAAGTGGAAATATTGTTACTTTTTGGAAATCTAACTTGATGCTTTGGAAATGATGACATGAAATGAATTTTGTTTGGTGACAAGAGCTCAGTTTGGAATGAATGTGAATTTTTTGATACTTTACCCTGAACCCTTTTAGACTTGGGTGGGTTGTGTTTGATGAAGAGAAAATGGCAAGTGATATGAATGACTGGTAAAAGTTACACAAGGGTTGATTTTTGTATAAATGTATATTAATCTGTATTATCAGCATAAATGAAAGTGGGGGTGCAACACAGAAGCATCTAAATTTCCATAAATGGGGTGTTGTAGACTTGTTGTTAATTATCATCACTATTTTGGTGGTAACAGGCAGTGAATCTCTCAGCGCAGTGAGTGTGAAATCAACAAAAGAAACAAAAAGCTGCTTTGTTGAATCTGTCGCAATATTCAGTTGAGCACTCATGTTGCTGATGTCATCATACATGACATCTTAGTGATACAGTCTTAGCATCCAAAATTAGAGAGTAGGTGTCGGACAAACAATGTGGTGATTTGAGTGTTTCTGTATTACATAAAGTAAGTTTTTATGCATTATATACTGAAATCTTTCTTGCATATTCGTCAACATGTACACTGATACCCATATATCTGTAATAAACCACTGTCTGCTTATAATGCCAGCCTTGGTCAAGCTGTAGTCCAGTTTTCATTATTATCTCTACTCTCTGGTTCAGACTTCTCTCATCCCCGTCATCCTTAGGTGAAGCTTCCTCACTGTGCTCTGGATGGAGTCTGAGCTCTGCTAATCCCACGTTAGTTCAACGACAGAATTACGGCTAGATAGACTCAAGAGTGGCCACACAGCAGCATAAAACCGTGATGCCCAACGCTCTCTGCCTCTGTAGTTTCCTCTCATCTGTGCTCTCTGTCCCTCTTTCTCTCTCGCTACCGTGTTGCAGGTCTTTGCCTCACAGTGTGTCACTCTCCCCACTACTCGCTTTTGTCCTTGCCTTGGCTTTTACACTCAGTCCTTCTAAAGCCTGCTGAGCTGAGGAGTTCAAAGCTTCTGCAACAATTAACTCTCTATAATGCCTGTGGATCTGCTTTGGCTGGTCTCAACAGCACCCTTGTATAGTGACTTTAAAAAAATCCTTTTAATCAACATCTGTGCCACCTTGAATTGCAAACAGCAGTGATATAACACCAGTCACTGCTGCTCTGCCAAATTGGAAGGAAGCTGTGCTTGCAGTAAAAGATCAGAGGTTAAACCAAGAGCACACAAAGCTGACTATCACCCAGTTCTGTTCCCCTTGGTTCAGTTATAGCCAGCTTGGAGTAGTAGTTAGAAATGAGCAATTGTAAACTGACAAGGTAGTAAGCATGTAGTTTGTATGCATGTAGTGTATGTGCAGTAACTATTGGCAGGCCTGCATAGGAGTGGTTGTGTCCTTGTGATTGTTGCACCAGAGCGAAGGCCACCAGAGGATGTGAGGGAAAGCCGATTAAGAAGTGTCATCGAGCACCACTGTCACTCAGCCAAAGGCTTCAACTGAAAAGCCCTGCAACAAAAAGAAAAAAAAAAAAGTCTTCAGTGCACTACCCCTTGAACCCCTTCCCCCCCCACCTCACATGCATACACAGACGCGCTGTTGCAACTCTCCCCCAGACCACTCTCTGTCCCTAGAGAGCCCGATGAGCCAACCCTTTCTACTGAATTGAAGAGGGATGAAAGTGGTGAGCTGGAGTTCCCAGCTGATTGCTGACATGTTCTGAAAATGACCTTGTTTTTTTCCCCTCTGCTGCACTGTCTCCTCATGCTGCTGTAGTTTATAGAATAACTCCTTCACCACCCGACGAGTGTGTGAAAAGATGTGTATTTTATACCTGTGTGAGACGTAATGTTTTCTTGTTTTGCAGTGCCACTCTCCTGGTCTTTCTGGTTGAGCTGCTCAAGAGCTCTGTGGCCATGCAGGAGCAGATGCTGGGAGGAAAAGGCTTTTTGGTGATTGGATACCTGCTAGAGAAGGTATAGTAGGGCTTTCACAGCATATCACAATGGTTTCCTAACCTCAGTGACACATCAGTTCTCAGGAACTATTCATTTTCAAATTAATCAATTTCACCTCACTCACAAATATGGTCATGTGTTCGCTTTTGCTCTCAGAAAATGGTTATACGAGAGATCCCATACAGGCAGACTAATTCTCTGGGAACAGGAAGACTTACCACATACAACATTTTCTCTTACTTTGATTTGATTGATTTGAAAAATGAATATGTCCAACTCTTCATTTCCTTCTTGAGTGGAACATTGAATGGGAAATGATTCACTGATGTGCAGAGTTTTGACAAGATTTTTAATAGAAAACCCCATCTGCTTTGGAAACTTCTTTCACCTTCCGTACGATGATCAAGATGCACTGTATCTTGTCTGCTCTCTCCAAGTCCTGTCAGCAGTCTGATCTCCCATTGCCTGTAGAGTCCTGAATGTGTCTTTGAACTAAACAGAGCTAGAGGAAGAACACCACACGACTACTTCTCTTCCCCTTTCCCCCCCCTTGGTTTCTCTCTCTTTCCGCATCAGTCTTTATTTACCCATTTTGCGATGCAGATCTAACAGCTTGCCGGCCTCCCCAGAGTGCTGGCTCTTTTGGAGCACTAAGAAATGACTCCACTTTGTCACTCAGTGACTTGCCTGCCTGCTGGCTTCAGCTGCTGTTAACTAACAGCCAGGCAGAGTCAGCGCCTGAGAGCTGCTGTTTTTTTCTTGCTTCCTTCCCGCTGCCAGGTTTCACACTTCCACATATCGCACCATCTGTTCATGATCTGTTTATGCCACACCTTCCCTTCTTCTTCCCGTGCCTTCATTTTTCCCTCTCTCCTGCCCTCACTAAGTCCCCACCTGGGCAGAGAACAGGTGCCAGACAGGAGCGGTAACGGTATTTGTCAAAGTGAAATTCTCTGCAAAGTCAAGCCTCTACAACTTGCCCGAATTTTGTTTAGACAATTTCTTTAGATTCAATAACTTGACAAAATTACTGTGTATCAATTTATCGACTATGCCAACATGCTAACCTGCTGCCACAGAACATAAGTAGGACACACAAATCCAAGTGATCCTTCGGCAAAATGACACTTATGACACTTTAATTAAAATACTTGCAACATTTAAACAGCACACAATGCAGACTAAAACAATAACCATGAAATCTATCCATTCTGTAGAATTAACTGTGCTTTTTTGTGATGCATATAAAGCTGCATGCCAGCTACCATTTTTTTTATATCTGTTTTTATATGTCAGTTTTTTGACCACTTCCATAGTTTACAAATGCTTCTACCTGTCTACAAAATTACAGATGTGGTTGTTCTCTTTGTGACATTTAGGTTTTTTTCTACTTTTTGTTGCAACAAAACAGTTATCATAGATAAATGCACACTTACAGCAGAAAAGGCTTAGCGACATCATTACTGTTAAACATGACTTTTGCTTCTTCCTACAGTCATCACGTGTACACATCACCAGGGCTGTATTAGAGCAGTTCCTCTCCTTCGCAAAGTATCTGGACGGTCTGACCCATGGTGCACCACTGCTGAAACAGCTTTGCGACCACATCCTGTTCAATGCTGCCATCTGGATCCACACCCCTGCCAAGGTGAGCTCCCACAGGTAACTTAGCCCACGAAGGGACAGGTGTCTTTGCATTTGATCAGGCTAAAAGGGATGCACATCAGGAGCTTTCAACTGCAAAAGGCTTTCATTAATCCTCTGCATCAGAGAAGAGAATTGAAACTACAAGTCCTAACATGCCCGTTTTTTCAAAGCAAATAACGGTGGAAATTTTGCGTGTTGTCAAGTATGTATCACACTGGTGTATTGGTGAGATTCCCCATGGCAGCAAGTGTTGTGCAGGTGGTAATGAAACCAACTAGCAGAGTGCATGTGCCAGATATATTCTCACATTTGTAAGACTTTAAATGGTTGCACAGTTCATCACTTGCCTTCCACTTTCCAATCCTCAACCTAACCAAGTTTTTAAATGTCCCACAGTTTTTCCTCCCATCCTTAAATAATGACCCATGAAAAAATGGGATGAGGTATATCAAAGGAGCTGTGGTTTGTGTGGCAAATACATTTGCCTCAGGAATGCTGCTGGTGGGCCAAGCCATGAATAAATAAAAGGAGGAAATAAATACAAAAGTGTCTGGAGGCTTGCCTGCGACACTCCTCCAAAATAGAGCATAGAGAAAAAGGGAGAATAAATGAGAGAAACAGCGAGGTAATGAAGTGGGTTAGAGCTCTTTTAGCTACAACGGTACACAGAGCTACGGTGGCTACTTCCCTTAGGACATGCCACAAAGTCCACATTTGCTGTGTCTCTATCTGCTGCATGGGGTACGGAGAGCCAGCTGTGTGAATGATGGGAGCATGCAATATCCATTAATTACACGGGTCCACTGACCTTGTCCTGGTAAACAAATAAGATTCTGTATTTTGCATTTTACTTTTCTGTTCTTGTGGAAATTACATTACCAACAGCATGGTGTTCACTTATCTCTAGTGTTTAATTTCAGTAGCCTCAAACCATATCGCATCATGCTCACATCGTAACCATGCTGCTGCCTTTCATCATGACTCACATTTGACTCATTAATGTCCTATAATTTATGACATATGGGAAAAAGCCCTCAGTATTTATAGCTGGAATGACTGTGGTGGGATTAAGGATTCTTGTCAGGTCTGTTGCTAATTACAGAGGACATGCTAATCATCACTGAACAGAGTGGAGCTGCGACAATTATGAAATTGAGTAATATAGGGTCAGTGGCCATCCCTACCGTACAGCTGCAAGGATAATAGGCTCAGCTTCTACAATCCACCAAGGTAAAATGTCTTGGTTAGTCTAAAAGGTATTCAGTTCAAGGGATCAATTACACTCTGCAGTTGATAACATGAATACGTTTGTATGTGCGTTTCCAGGTACAGCTCTCTCTATACACATACCTTTCGGCTGAGTTCATTGGCACGGCAACCATCTACAACACGATACGTCGAGTGGGCACAGTGCTTCAGCTCATGCATACACTAAAGTACTACTACTGGGCCATCAACCCTGCAGACAGCAGTGGCATCACACCAAAGGGTCTTGGTAAGCATAGTTAGCTTTTTGGATTTTGCATTTTGAAGTTTATTTGTCTTTCTGCTGTGAAATATGATTTGATTTGATATAGATTTTTGTTTATATATGTCTTCCATCCATCTGAAGGCTCATCCAAGTTAAGCTCAGTGTTTTGGAAAGGAAATCATTGGGAGTGAACCAATCACAATCATTGTGTGCAGTCACAAGCCTGCTATCAAAGTGTCTTTCTGAAATGGCAGCAGCTCTCCCACATTTGAAATGACTCATCCCCACATTGAAGCGCTTGCCTGTCAGCTGTTAGGACCGTGGCCATCACTGGAAATGACAGTGAGGCAGACACGCCACATCAATACTGTCATCCCCCTAGGGTGCTTGGTGTGGGTGTTAGGCCTCTGAAACCTGGGCCAGTAGTATGACTGGCATCCTCTATAAAACAACAGTACGTCACTAAGCAGGCTGTGCTGGAAGTGAAAGTGTCCTTGAACTGTCATTTCCTTTCTGCTCTCCATTATTCTTTTCTAAACTATCTGTGTCAAAGTATAGGGGTTGTTTTATAGTCGCACTGAGAGCTCAGTTTATGCTGCACCGAGGCCTAATGAAATCTACTTCCTGAAGGTTAGAGCATGTATTTTGACAACGTTGATGTAATCCTGGTCACAGTCAGTAGTATATTTCTTTGTTAGTATGGCTTACAGTTTCTATCATGAGTCAAGATCACTTTTAACAAATTCTCATAGGCAGTGCCAGAGTTGACTGATATATATAGCAGTTTAGCCTATATGTATGCCAAATCAAGGCACTTGGCCTACATTTTTGATCTCTTATAGCTGGCAGTGATCCTAATTGATTTCCTACTAATAGTGGTTGTGACCTCTAGACTAAGGTTAGCTGGGATAATACGGGCACACATATCTGTAAGTTAGGTCAGCTCACAGTCCCCTCAATCTCACTTTTCCTGATTTTAATTTGTTCCTTATCCCATCTACTTACACTGTGCAGTGTCCCTTATCCCTTCTTATGCTGTGCAAGGGAACTTTACAAGTCGTAATAAGCGATGAAAGCTCAACCTATCTAGAAGTCATGTTCTTGGATGATGAGCTATATTTAGCTTGGACATCAGAGGAACTTTTCTCATCACATGCACTGTGTTGGACACTCTTGGTAGGTGTTTTGTTGCTTTCACCACTGTTGAATTATAGATTTTGAAGTCGAAATCACTTGTTTGGGAAATCTGTCTCCGTGTAGCCTCAGGCACTGCAGTAAAGTTGTGCTTTATATAAGAACATCACAAGACCAAGTAGTTTTCTGATTTGTTTTAAGTCTGAGATGTCAACATGGGTTGTGAAAACACCGAAATAATACACAGGATGTGCTACAGTGTTCTCAGTGTAGTTCCTACATTGTCTGTGTTATAGAGGAGAGTCACTCTTGACACTCTTATAGTAAGTGAAATGTTGATATAATTATCATCAGTGTGCTACCTAAGTGGGCCTGCCACCTGTAAGGATAGTTGGTAATGGGTGGGTTGGGAGCCCAGCGAGGGCAGGGTTATTGGGTGACTGACGCCTCGCAATAAAACATGCAGTCACCTCTTGGTGGGGAGGGAGAGTGCAAGAGGTAGAACAGGATTTAGGATCGTGTCTCGCTTCTTCTTGCGGATATCGTAGTCCTGTTGGCTTCATCGGACCATGTCCTCCAGTGCACACTGGGGTAGTTTCAGCGGAGTGTGAAGAGGTTGGGATGAGAGTTAGCGCCTGCTGCCATGGTCCAATGCCAGAAAACAGCAGATTGCCACCTCGAGGTTGTGAGCAATTAGCAATCTGGGTTAGCAATCTAAAGACTATGTTTTTCATTGCAAAGAACTACACATTACACTGCACTAACCAACTTCCTTCAATGAGCTTTCTAGTTAGGAAGTCCTCTAAATGTAGACCTCTCAAACGCAACTAAAAATATGGTACTGATAATTGTTTCCGGGGAAGATATCTCGAAAACAGATCACCGTCCTTCTGTAGGTAATTTTCAGAGTGGGTCTGGATCCATTGATCTGCGCTTGATTTGGCAGTTTTTCTCTCTGTCCTTCTAAACTGAAAAATGACCAAACAGAGACACATACGAAGAAGGAGAGAGCCAAGCACATAATGAAGTGTTCAATTATAGGGACACAGAGAACACATTTAAAACAAAGCTCCTCCAGCTACTCACTCTGTTTCTGGAAGTGCCTCCTCTTTTTTCCCCCCTCCTCAGGTCTTAATAGAGAGTGCTATCAAATTAAAGCCATGTATCATTCGGTTATACACAGAATCACTGCAGGCACTCACAGATGCCTATTGCTCAACTTCTTTCAGTTTCTGATATGTACCCACAAGCCAACACATAATCTGTCTCAATCTCAATCACTCTCCCTTTGTCTCTGTCTGTGTCCTGCCTCTGTTTTACTAAATATTAACTAATGAGGCAGTTAGCCAAGCTGTTTGGTCAGTCACCACTTTCAATTCAAGCTGGTTTTGTCTTGTTCCCATTACAGGAGAAATCACCAGTGACAGACATGTAGGTACTTCAGAGGAATAATTTGATCATGGCTCGCGGTTGATTTGATTTTTGCGTGTGCCTTCGTTCTAATGAAATCATCACATGTAAGACACAAATTGCTGATTACAGGCAAGTCATTGAGCAATTGCACATGCATTCTCTTCTTTTAACGCCTTGCTTCAGATTTACGCATTTACACCTGAGAAATCCACTGGAGCAAATGGAGTTTAAGAGAAAGAGCTGTTGACACAGTCATGTTTTAAATGTGTTTACCTTCATGTTTGGCCTATGTTCAGTCATTGCAGTTTAAAGTCAACATACTCCAAGTGCTCTAAACAGAGCAGGTTAAGCAGTTGAGAAGAATTCTGAAAACCAATTATTGCTGCTCCAATTAAAAAAAAAACGTGTCGCATTGTGAGTGTTTTATCAGCTTTTGTTTATTTAAAAGCATTCAGTGAGTGGAAATATAATTATTTTTGTTTTCTATTTAAAGTTTTATACAAGTATACAGGACGCACACTGTTGTGTATGCCGTCACTTTATTATCATCAGTCATAAGCCAAAATGAGATTCCTGCATTAATCACATGGACATAAATTGTTTTTCAATAAACTCTTTCTCCCTGTGCCCTTGGGATGCAGGAAGTAAAGCAATATGTGAATGAGGAACAAGAGCTGCGTAGAAACTGCTGAGCATAATTTGTTGTGAATAACTTGGATGCAGTAGCTGCGGTAATAATGTTCTTATCATCCCTTCCATGTCAGACTCTGTCCCTGCACTGGGTTTTCTTCTCTCTCTATTAATCAGTGTCGGGATGCAGTGGCACTTGCCATCCTCTTGCAACCTCAGGGAGCCTCATCATTGATTACATTGACTGGCTGTCAGAGCAGCAGGATGGTCAGGTGTCTGCTGCCATTGTATCTGTCATCATGGCACTGTCCCCATTTCAATTGAACATGTGTCCAGGCAAGGAGGAGGTTGGAGTTTATCAGGGCTGAGAAGAGAAGAAAGAAATTGGGCAAAGTGACCAGTTTTCCCTGAAAGGCTTTTGCTGTCGTGTTTGGCCCAGTTACTGTCATTTAATACCTCTGCAAATGTAAAAGATTTTGTCAGTGAATTTATGCCTGGCTTGCTACACAGGATGAATAAAATGAATGAATATATGCCAGGTTTTACTGCCAAAATGAAGCCTTTGTGCTACAGTGCTGCTAATCTTAAGGGGATTCGTGTTTGTATTGTTATAAGTGCTAATGTATACTATATCCTGCATTTTCTGAAAAGCTCTGCGTTGTATTGATCTGCCTGTTGCTGCAGCCCATTAGTGTGTACATGAAAACACTTTTTGGTCAAAAACAAAAGAGCTGAGCATATTGAATAGGATCTGACTGTGTCAAAATTAATTCTTGTGCCAACCAAACCAGTACAGCAGCTCTGTAATGTGACATTTAATCAATGCTTTCTGTCATATCCTGCCATTCTTCTTGATTTACACAACATACATACACCTGCTGACAGCGTTCAGCCTGTCAGATGCTGAATGAGGTTCATGACAGGGATGGATATGTGAGTCTAACTTAACAGTGCCAAAGTGACCTTAAGTTGGCACAGGCATTCTGGGTAGTTTTAATGAAATGTTGGCCAGTGTGATGGGCAGGTGCGACTATGGTGACCTTGGGCTGGTTGCCCAGGCACTATGTTGTAGCCGAGACTACTTGGGATACACAGAGACTTTGAATGCAGCATGAATGATAAACAGATTTGGGCTAAATACTCTCCAGGACCTCTCCTGAACTCAAAGCATGCTATATATATATATATTATATATATTATATATATATATATTATATATATATCTATATATATATATAAAATGTGTTTAATTGTTAATGTACAAATTATTCTGTTTCCGAGTGGGAGATGGGAGACAAAGGTTGTGGGTAAAACCTGGTGGAACTTTTAATACTCACATTCAAGGTGAATCGTGTAAATCGGTATAGATCTGATGATACGGCAAAGAAAACTGAATCTGTCTTTGAAATCTTTGTTTTGTCTGCTTTTCCTTTAGAAAGCTCAAAGGATGAGAGCAAAACACACCAATGAGAGAAACATTTCATTATCAATCAAAAAAAGAATCAAAGTGGAACTTAATATTATAAAAATTGCCAGTAAAAACAAAATATAGAGGAGACTGGAAAAAAATGAAAAGGGAATCTTATTTGGTTCCAGTTTTATTGTTTCTCTCACTCTCTCTTCAACTACAGATGGTCCAAGGCCGACCCAGAAAGAAATAATTTCTCTGCGGGCGTTCATGCTTCTCTTCCTCAAGCAACTCATCCTGAAGGTATATCCCACCTGTCTTCATGCTTCACAGCCCCCCACACAGCTTGATTTTGAGCTGCGCTGAGAAAATTTGGAGATTGTCAATTCTCCCTGTGTTATCCTTTAAAATGTTATGCCAGTCTGCTCCTTAATGCATTCAGTGACATTTATTTATTTATTCCTGCTAAAAAGTGTGTGCTTGGAAGAAAACCAGTTGTGCTGAAACTAATTTAATGAATTCATTAGTCAGTCAAGCGAAAATCAATAAATGATTGTTTTGATAATTATCTAATCATTTAAGTAATTTATCAAGTAAAGATACCAAACACTTATTGGTTCCAGCTTTTCAAATGAGACAAATTGATGTTTTTCTTTGCTTCAGTTATTTGTAATTGACTCCCTCTGGGTCTGCTGACTGTTTATCAGACAAAGTTATAATGCCTCACTTTTGGCTTTGGGAATGCATGAATGTGGAAATTTTGTTGCTTTACTGACTAGATTAATTGGATTATTTAAAAATAAATGATACACTTATCAATGACATAGGTATTAGAGTGCTGGGCTGTATATCACACATTTGATTCTGTTTTTTATCTTTTTAAATGTTTTATACCCTACAGTTCAGGTGACTGTATTGCTGCCCACATCCCAGCATGCCATATCTCTGCAGATAATTACCTTGCCACATTGTATAACAGACTTTCCAGGGCATGGCAAAAATAAGATGAATTTTAAGACTAACAGAGAACAGGCTTGGTGCCTTCATGTTAGCACCAGGCCAAACTTCTTAGGAAAGCAAGAGTTATATGGCTGTTCAAACGGTTTGGTTGTAGAAACTTCTCATGACAGATGCAATTGCAATTGCACACCCAATTTAAGCCCAACAGTAAAAACTGACAAACTGTTTTTCAACCGTACCAAATTAAAGAATATACAGCAGATATAATGATCTTCATTTGCAGTGACCCTAGTCCAATTATTTTCAGACTAATGCATGATTTAATTGTTTATCTGTTTTCTCATTCTTGCATTCTTTCAGGACCGAGGTGTGAAGGAGGATGAGCTGCAGAGCATCCTGAACTATTTGCTAACAATGCATGAGGTACATGAGAGTCTATTCCAGCTCCAAGGGAATTCACTCACTTAGCTGCACTAAGAGCTGCTATTCTAAGTTTTTATTAACTAACCAGCAAGATGAATGAATCATTTCGATTAGCAATGGCCCTCTGCCCTCTGCGCCACTGTAAGGTGTACCAGGTGCATTCCCCAATTGCAGCTGATGCAATTGCACGACACATACATAATGTCTTTATTGCAGTTGCAGAGTTTTAGCAAAGAAAGTAGATTATATTTTCTCTCTTCACCTGATCTATCTCTCATTGTCTTTTTCTCATGGTTCGTCTGCAGGATGAGAACCTACATGATGTGTTGCAGTTGGTGGTAGCTCTCATGTCTGAGCATCCAGCCTCCATGATCCCTGCTTTTGACCAGAGAAATGGAATACGGTAAGACACAATCCCTTTGCTGTTCAGGCACAAAATGAAGAGGTGATTTCACAAAATAAACCTAAGTACCTACCACTTGTGCTGGGTGCCTATGAGATGCATGAATAATTCACAAGTTCAGTGAGAAAAAAAAAAAACCTATGCATGGAAAAGTAACAATATTAACATATTGATTTCACAATATGACACGGATGATCAAACTCACCCCATGTGATCCTATAAAATATAAATGCACACAGTGTATCACTACTTGTGTGTTCTAAGGAATTCATTGTGGAAAGGCTGCTGCTTTCATTAGGACATTCATTTAATGCTAATGTAAATTCTCCCTGAAGGAAAGTGGTTGTCAGCTAACCAGTGCAGGGCCTTTTCATCAACAGGGCTATATTTTATTCTGTCAAGACAGTGTGCTGTTGCCAACTTTTCGCTGCTTGTGTCTATTCCAGGGTAATCTACAAGCTCATGGCCTCTAAGAGTGAAAGCATTCGTGTACAATCGCTCAAAGTCCTTGGGTACTTCCTTAAGCATTTGGGCCACAAGTAAGTAACCGATTCCAATAGCTGTGATTGTAATTACACATTCTAAGTGTTTTTAAAATGAATGGTCTAGATTAATTAATTGTCAGATGTCTATTATGTGTCTATGCTGTGTTTTGCCGCTTTAAGCCTTTCCACGTCCCTGCAATGTCCAGGTTAACAACAATACGAAAAATCATAAATCAGGCTTTACATTCAGGGAGATGATTCATCTGTTCCTGACACTCCTTTGAAAAAGTGTACAATTAGAAGAGCCAAAAACCTTTTGACTGGATGCCAGTTTTGCAAATTAGGGTGCACTTCTTTGTAGAACACCTGAATTCTTGGCATTTTGCCCTAAAACCATTACTTCACATACAAGACTGGTGGAAGAGGTCCAAGTTACTGTCCCGCAGAGTGAAATAAATAATAAACTACCTGCTAGGATGTCAGCATATCTTCTGTACGCTGCACATTGGAGAGTAGAGAGAGAATGCCTATCGGTAGAGAGCCAATGATTCAAAATGTGGGATGCAGGGAGAGAAGGAGGATTTTGCTGTTATCACAGTGGTGGCACCAGGTGTTGTGGTGTTACTGGTGCCTGCTGAATGCAGGGAAAGGGCAGCCATAAGCCTATGCTAGACTGCCCCAGGTGCAAGCAAAAAGCCTCAAGGGACATGAAGGCTTCCTGAAAGCCTGCCTTTCACCCCACACTTTAATAGCTTTCATACATTTTAAAGCACCATCTGAGTTCACTATGAGCTCTAGTGCAACTCATAAAGAATTTAGCACGTTTCTTTCATGCTTTGTTAATGTTATTGCTTCTTGATGATTAAATTTGTGATTTTCTTTAGTTCAGTGATTAGAAATTGTTAGTTGTGTCTCCATTGTCAGTAAGATGTGATCTACAGATTGGTTGTGAGAAAACTTATGAGAGAGAAAAGCTATAAAAGGATATTTGACATAAGCTCTACTGAAACTGTTATAATTGCAAATACTTAACCACTAATCATAAACTAAAAGAGACAACATAATGAATATTGCATATCAAGTTTTTAGTTTTAGAACTGAATATGCTTCATGCTGTATGATTACCTTAATCTCTTCTCACTGAATAGCAAACATCCAATTTTCATATTTTAAACAGTGTGCCTTCATTTCAACATTGTCTCAACTGGTGATTTAAACTCTATTCACTGAAAAAGAGAGTGACTTTGTCTGAATATTATACTCATTTACAGCATTTACAACAAGGCCTCCTCTTCCAATGTACCACATTGGGTGAGCAGTCTTGCTCAAGTTCCATCTCAGCTTGCTATGCATCATCAGTCTGCCCTTTTCTCTCAAATTTCCATATTTATACAGCTGTGAGAAATGCTACTCTTCTCCTAAGTGTCCAATTTGCCACCCTCTGAGAAATACAAAAAAAAAAATCGTCTTATTAGAAAAGTCCCAACTCGTATTGAGGCAGTGGCAGCCGCTTTGGCTTAGCATTGTGACAGCAGTCCTTATGCTGTTTGCAGAAGTAGTTTGTCACTGTTGAACCCATTCACTTGTGGTATGCCTCTGTTGTATCTTGGAGCCATTTCTAGTGACAGGCTATCTTCGTTATTCTACACACCTCCAACAAAATTCCTCCAATTTATGACAGCAGGCAGTTCCTGACACTTGTCCCCAGAGCCCGGCTCCCTGTGGGTGAGAATAAGGAAGCCAGCTGACGGCACTCACTGATCCTTCCAGTGGCTTAGGGAGCTCTAAACAAGGCACTTTACCATTATGTCTGTGTGTGTGTTTGTGTTTGTGTGTGTTTATCCACAGGAGGAAGGTGGAGATCATGCACACACACAGCCTCTTTACTCTCCTGGGAGAGAGGCTCATGCTGCACACCAACACTGTGACCGTGACGACCTACAACACTCTGTACGAGGTAACAAAACATTTTCCTCTCAAGTGTGTCAACGTTACTGCACTATTGGTCTCTTTGTATATATTGTGTGACCGTGATGTCTTCTCACTGCTTCCCTCAACCAGATTCTGACAGAGCAGGTGTGCACACAGGTAGTTCACAAACCTCATCCTGAGCCTGACTCGACTGTCAAGATTCAGAACCCAAGTAAGCCTATTATGTGTCACGTTGTTTTATTCCGAAGTGCTCGGCTCTCTGGTAAAATTTACAATGCGTGTGTATATTTGTGTTTGCGTCAGTGATTCTCAAGGTGGTAGCCACCTCATTGAAGAACTCCGCCCCCAGCACAGAGCTGATGGAGGTTCGGCGGCTCTTCCTGTCAGACATGATCAAACTTTTCAGCAACAGCCGAGAGAACAGACGGTGAGCAGAACCTAAACCGCCTTTTACTCACCCACTCCCTCAATTATCTTACTGATTAATGTATCAAAGGAAAAAAATTAAAGAAATCACATTGTTCCTTCTCCTTGTACAATGGTTAATAGGCTCATATTGATGCTAAATCATCCGTAGACATGCACATCTTCTCCAGCAGATGTTTCTGGGACAGTTTTTGACAGTTGCTCCTTCCTGCTTTCTCTCTTTTTCACTCTCACACCCAATCTCTCCTTCTGACAGTCACACTTATAAGACATATTGCAATTAAATTATAAGTCTTAGGGAACCACTGACCTAAATCAACAACATAATTAGCGTACAATTAATATGGGAGAAAGTCAAATTGTTGAATTAAAAACAGTATTGGCAAACAGTGCCTGTATGTTCTTTTGACACAAAGAAAGGTGTTGAGGAGAAGCAGAAAAAATAATTGGTATAATTTTGATGGAAAGACTCAAAGTAAAATGTTGTTAAAATCATTCCTTTTACCACCAACATCATTTATAAATGTTAAACTTGCTAAACATAAGAGGATCAAAGTTTGCTGAGATTACTTACCATGTGATGTGTTTGTGGTTTTTAAGGTGTCTGCTTCAGTGCTCCGTATGGCAGGACTGGATGTTTTCTCTGGGCTACATCAACCCTAAGAGCTCTGATGAGCAGAAGATCACTGAGATGGTATACAACATCTTTCGTATTCTGCTTTACCATGCCATCAAATATGAGTGGGGAGGATGGCGTGTGTGGGTGGACACACTCTCTATAGCGCACTCTAAGGTGAGTATTGTACTTGAACAACAAAGAGGAAACACTGACCTCTGCTGCTGAGGGAGACATTTTAATCTATTTTGTCTGATCTTAACTAAACTAATCACCACAGTTGTTTACATCATTAATGTGTGTGGCTAACAATATCTGTAACTTTGCCTTTTCTATAGGTGACATACGAGGCACATAAAGAGTACTTGGCTAAGATGTATGAAGAGTACCAGCGTCAGGAAGAGGAGAATATTAAAAAAGGGAAGAAGGGTTTTGTCAGCACCATCTCTGGTCTGTCGGCCCAGGGCTCCGGCATCAAGGGCGCGGTTGAGATCAGAGAAATGGAAGATAACTCTCAGACACCTGAGAGCGAGAAGGATTATGAGAGTACAGACTCGCGCAACCTGCTGGCTGAAGGGAAGGGGCCTGAAGAGGGTCTCAGAGGAACAGAGGGTACGGTAGATGGGGTCAAGGTTGAAGTTCATGACCTCCTGGTGGACATCAAGGCTGAAAAGGTGGAGGCTACGGAGGTTAAGCTAGATGATATGGACTTATCCTCTGAAACTCTGGGTGTATCTGAGAATGGAGCACTGGTGGAGGTGGACTCTTTGTTGGACAATGCTTACTGTGCTGCTGTGGAAAAGCTCAACAGTAATGTCAACAGTGTGTTGTTGCCAAAGGGCAGCACGGATGACCAAAATGCACCCCCTCTCATTACTCTAGATGATGACAAGGACACCATACCTAACAGCAACAACTTCCTATTCGGCAAGGTGGCAGGCAGCATGGAGGACAAGCTACTGCCTGATCTCAGTCCAGCTCAGCCTCTGGTCCTGCCCAGCCCAGAGCCTCCAGTCTATACCAGCACCAATGATGAACTGGGGCTTCTTGCTCACATGACAGGCAGCTCTGAGCTTGGCTCCTTACCCAGTATCCTGGAGGATGAGTTTGAACTGCAGGCAGCCTTGGAGGGCATCAGCTCTGTGGCTGGTACAGAGGCTGAGGTCTCTTCCAAAAGCCCAGAGGTCACTGAGGGCACAGCTGCAGTGGCATCTGAAGATCCCTCGACTGTTAAGACCAGCAGTGCAGCAGATACAACAAGCAACAATTCTGACACAGAGAGATCAGACGATGGCAAAGACAAGGAGAAGAAGATTCAGACGACCGCCACCACACAGGTTGGTTCGAAGCTAAATTATCATGTAGTTCATTCATAAAAACGGGGTTATCAAAAACAAAAAGACAGTCTTCCTCTTTTCAGTGTTTCTCATGACAGAAATAGTAGAAGTTCACTGACTTAACTGGATTCAGAATAACAGGAAATCTTAGCCAGAGGGAAATATAACAGTAGGTTGATCATCAATGCAGAAACATCGCAGCAGCAGGGTTACAGAGTGGAAGTCAAGGAGGGAAACCATTTGCAATTGTCAGGATGTGTTGGCCTTTAGTGAACAGTTCTATATTAACAGACCCAGTGGGATCACTTCCTTGCCAAACTCTGGTGTAATGGGAACAGAATGGCCCGGTGCACATCAGGAAACATCCCTCTGAGACTCAGGAAAGTGGGCTGCTGGAATAGTTGGATGAGCCAACAGGAGGGTAGAAATAGACAAAGCATTATTCTGCAACAATCGCCTGGGATTTGATCACGACTCCCCTCCTCTCGTATGAGCTGAGCTCTTTCTCAGAGGTCAGGCTCTTTTGCCTAGACTGGGTCACTGATGGTGGTCCGGTGGGAGGCAAGGTTTATTTTTAAACCTTTCCCTGCTGTTGCATAATTGCTCATGTTCAATTCATCGCTGCTGCTTTTTAAACAGGTTGTTTTTTGCAGGACCTTGCTGACTCATTCATCTTATGTTTAGAGGTTGCATTGAGCTTGTTGTATTTTTTCTTTACCTGCAGGCAGGAATAGGTTATTTGAGGGCTCACTTTAATCTGGCAATTCATCATTCTTAGTGAATAGTATGACAGTGGCATTATATCTCATTAAGGGTGTACTATTGATCTCGACAGAAGAATATGATTAGCAACTGGTCCTTAAACAGTTTCTCATGTTACTGCTTTATACTGATTAATTGGCCTCCTTTCAGAGTCTACATGGCCGCATAGCCACTCAGATGGAGAGGGACATACGGGTTGACTTGGGCTTCAGGGGGATGCCCATGACAGAGGAACAGCGACGTCAGTTCAGCCCTGGCCCACGCACCACCATGTTCCGCATCCCAGAGTTCAAATGGTCAGCAATGCACCAGAGACTGCTTACTGACCTGCTGTTTGCACTGGAGAGTGACGTCCATGTCTGGAGGAGGTGTGTGAAGTGGTTTATGTGCGCTTGGGAGAGACAGTGAGGGAGGATGAAGCATGTAGGGATGCTCAGATTACCCTTCCATATCAGAACTAACATATTGGTGTTTTCAGACATAGATTGAATCCGGCTGTTTATTCATCCTGTAAATATATGATAATTCAGAGTAAAGGTGACGTATGATTTATATAATGTGAAAATTGCTTGGACCCATAATAATCCAGTTCTTTCTCTCCTTCCCCTGCAGCCACTCCACCAAGTCTGTCATGGACTTTGTTAATAGTAATGAGAACATTATTTTTGTCCACAACACTATCCACCTCATCTCACAAATGGTAGACAACATCATTATCGCTTGTGGAGGCATCTTGCCCCTTCTCTCAGCGGCCACCTCTCCTACAGTAAGTGCATCTCACTGTCTTCACTGTGGGGGAATAACTCCATCTAGTGTTGGTTTATTGTAACTGCTTTGTCCATTTTTGTCTGTCTTTACTACAGTACAGAATGCACCAGTGGGAAATAAGACCTGTTTGTGTTTATTGATTGGGGGCACTTTTATTTGCTTCGCTTCTCTCTGCTACAATTAATGCTGAGGACATTGTTTGTAATTAACTTCCCTGTGTTTCATTCATGGTTACTTGTATCAGTCTACTGTAATTCTTAGATTTAATTTGCTGCTTTGAACTGAAATTGATTTTAATCATCATGTTTTTATCTGCATGTCTTGCCAGGGTTATTATTTATACTATTTTAATTTCTCTCTCTTAATTTCACAATGTATTCACTAGCCATTTGTGCATAATACTCATTAAATAGATCTGAAAATGTACTATCCCTCTGGTGCAGATGGCATCCTTCTCAAATATTTTCCTTGAGAAAACCTCTCCGTGTTTCACCACAAAGGAGAAGAGAGCTAACAAAAAAGTGTCTGCTATCAAAGTATCAAGTATTTGACAGAATATCACCTTACTGTATGTGGTGTTTGTTAGTCAGCTGGACTACCCTTAAATATTACATTGTTACAATTGTGAACATTATCTCTGCTTCCTCAAAGATAAGATCCTACTCACCCTCATATAATAATAATGGTCCAAGCTGCTGCCCTCCTTCTGACTCAGTGGCAGGTCCTAAATTCTGCAGCACCGATTACTGTGTTTACATGTGTGATATGCTCCTCTTCCTCTGCTTCCATCTTCTATTTTGCATGTTTTTGTTAAAAAAAAATACTTTAATCACAACTAGAGAATGTGAGAATGTGGCAAAGATGATATTGTACATGTGAATGTTTGTTTTAAGTGACTGGTTTCTTCCTTGTTGCTTGTGTAAGACGGAGCTGGAGAACATCGAGGCAACACAGGGCATGTCCTCAGAGACCGCCATCACTTTCCTGTCCCGTCTCATGGTCATGGTAGACGTGTTGGTGTTCTCAAGCTCCCTCAACTTCAGTGAGATCGAGGCTGAGAAGAACATGTCCTCTGGTGGCCTGATGCGTCAGTGCCTCAGACTTGGTGAGATCATACTTGTATATTTCCTGCTGTAGGTGTGAATGTCAGTCAGTGCAGAGAGAAGTGAATTACAATTACAGAATCTTTATGTTGGGTTTTGCAAGGTAAACTGCATCTTTTTCCAGTTACAGAGAAAATTGATGAGCTAGAAAATGCCATGACAATATTCTTTTTACACTGTCTAATAATTTCTGTAATCCCTGTAAATCCTCTGTTTGATCAGCAAAGCTAATTAATTTAAGAGTCCTTTCCTAATGTATTCTAAATTGGAGAATGTGCAAGGTTTTGCTGCAGTTTCCAGCCGTAAAACATGACAGAATCATCATTTTGGAATTCATAACAAGGAGAGAGAATCATTTGCAGTGCATTCAGGTATTCTCTGCAAATGGTAGCCTTTTGTGTCTGTCATTGCTGTGTCCCACAGGACTCCACGAGGTCCTCTCTGCCCTTGTGTGTGTCTGTGTACATAATAACGATTTTTTACATTTTAAATTTTACATTTGAATGCAAAGTAGATGGCTGCTGAATTGGGTGTGAATGCTGAAAGAAACAAATATTTTTATTATTTTTACACCTTGTACATTTTTCAATGTAGAAACTTCATTTAAACATCAACATATTAAGCTTAATTAGGACATTATTACTTTACCACACCTTTCAGAAGCCACATTTCAGCTAGTGTAGTCACATTTTTGACTCTACACACACAAATCTCACCCACTGGGCTCAGCAGGTTCTCTTATTTCTCAGCACACCCCCATTTCGGTGATATGAGTTATGGTCTGGGCACTAGAAGCATAATCTCGAGAGGTGCACCTAAATGACAAAATGAAGCCTCTGACCCAGGTTGGGTACACAGAACTGATTGAGATTACGTAATTAACACAGTTTGACAGACAGACAGACACAAGTATTTTTCAAGCTTTAAACTAAATTCAGATCTTATAATATTCAACATTTGAACACATTATGATATATATATATATTTTTTTTTATATATATATATTTTTTGGCGCTTTTATTGCCTTTATGATA